TTGAGTGTCACACAATTCATGTGAAAATATGAGGGTTATGGGATCCACAGACCATGACTTAGTTCACTTGAATTTTATTTTTTAATGAGAATGACAACAGGCTTTGCAAGCTGATTTAGAGCCTCCAGGTTTAACTGCATATGAGTTTAATACCCATGCAGTGTGAGTTAGAAAAATGAAATTTCTCAGTATGGTAAATAAACAGAGGAGCAGGTAAACCAAATTGAAGTCTGTAGCCTAGAAAATCAAGGACTAAAAATAGTAAGATTCGAGGCAACATTTCAACCATGGACCATCCGAAGGTGGTTTTTAAGTACCATCAAAGGAGAAATCAGGCCACGATATGATAGGTTTAAAATATATATATTACATATATAATGTCTAGAGAACATTCTGGTCATTATGTAGGTGTGGGAAGGCACACCTTTCCTTCAAATGTAGATTTGGTTTCCCAGAGTTGTTATTTTTCGTGTTCTTTCTCACTAGAATTAGGAGGATACTCCCCCTGATTTCTAAGGGAGACATGTTGGCATGATGTACATGAAATTGAGAATTCACCTTGGGGACATTTGACATGAAGGTTCTAGATTGCAGTTGCTGTTTCCGTTTAGCAAATCAGGCAAACAGCTCCAGCATTCATTGTCTCTTAGCCAGTAGCCAGAGGATCCCCTTTAGGACAGGCACGTAGAAGGAGTGCAGGTCAGGAGAAAACACAAACGAGTGTGTTTTGAAAGGATTCCCGTGCTCTTGGGCCATCTCATTCAAATGGCAACATTGAGGTTTTTGGTAGATGTTTGCTTGTGGGCCTAAGACTTTGTGCATGTGGAGGTTTTGAAAATAGTATTAGTTGGGAAGGTCTCAAATAGTGCAGAAACTTCAAATGACTGGCCTGACCTGCACATGATGGTTGTGAGTTCTTGACTTACGAGGGGACTGCTGAGTCCTCAGGAGTCCCACCCATTCTTCTTCCTTGGGAATTCCCTCTTCCTATTCCAGAGTTCTTAATAAAGGCCCTGTTTGAGCAGGAGGAGTGAATTGAGTGAGTAGAACTGATAGTCCTATCTGGCTTCTGAGCTTAAGGAAGTGGAATGCTAAGAATCCCCCCACTCCCGCCAGCCTGGCAGAGGAGGAGAAGTGGATGATTAAGCTGAGACCTTTGACCATTGGTAAGATGAAATTTAGATATCTTGAAAAGTGGTGCTCGTGAAAACAGATGAAGTCTTGAATTTCACTGTATGATATAGGGACTGGAATGTGAGAAAAGGAGATTATGGATGTTAGCATAATCAGGCCATTGCTGATTATAAAAAAAATAATGACAGAAGTCAGTCCCACTTCTCAGTTCCTTTTCAGTTGGATGAAAAACTCTCTCAGACTTTCCTTGTCAGGAACATCAGCCATGCCAAGACTAGGCTCTGGGTGTTCAAAGATGCACGTGACCCAGCCCCTGCCCCAAAGAGTACTCAATCTAATGGAGAATAGCCATTGTTAAATTAATGCCAACTGTGTGCAGCAAAACTATTTTTGGTAATAATATTTGAGGCCCAGTGACCAAAAATACCATCTTATGTTTCTTATATGATTCATCTCCTGTGAGGGCAGGCTTGTGTTACAAAGGCATGGTTGTCTGCACTTGGGCAAAACCAAATTCTATAATACATGGACCATAGATCTAAATGTGAAACAGTAAGGATTCTAGGGGAAAATGTAAGAGAATAGCTTCATGACCTCAGGGCAGGCAAATATTTCTTAAATAGGACACTGTTTTAAATATGCTAACCATAGATGGAAAAAAAGTGGGCAAATTGGGCTACATTGAAATAAAGAAATTCGATTCATCGCATGATACCATTAAGAAAATGAAGTCTATGGAATAGGAGAAGATTTTGCAATACAGATATTTAACAAAGGACTTGTGTGTAGAATATATAAGAACTTCTGCATATCAATAAAATTAAATTACCCAATAGAAATATGGGAAACGAACTTGAGTAAGCACTTCACAAAAAAGAATGTTGGTTGTCTTGATTGGAGGTAGTGATTGGAAGGGAGCAGAAAGCGCTTCCGAGATTCTGGTCATAATGTTGGTAATGTGGGTGTGTTTACTTTGTGAAAACCCTCAAATTAAGATCAGTGTACTTTTCTGTATGTATGCTATAATTTCATTGGAAAAGTTTACATAAAAAAAGAAAATACCTTGTTTCCCAGGATGAGGAGTGCGAACAAAATATTCTCAGATATGAACACTGACCGCAAAACGTCTCTCATCATGGAACATTGCCTCTACTATGGCAGCAGACAAAGTGTTGAGAGCATGGGGCTTCACAAGGTAGCTAGAGCAGGTCCAGTTTGTGCAATAGCCCTACACATGGAGTGGCAGTGTTTTGTGTTAGCATAAAGCCATTGGCTACCAATATTCTGTGAAGGGAGGAGGAAGAAAGCATTTATGGAGGAAGCACTAGAAACAAGCTTGATTACTTTACAGTTTTAGGGGTATGGCTGACTCAGCCTGTAATCCTGTTTAAGCCACCATTGATTGCTCACTTATCATGTGTCCTGGCATTGAGATAGGGACTCTGTGCATCAGAATGTTTGATCCTCACCACAACTCTGGGAGGTAGGCACTATTACTTAAATCCACATTTATAGATGAAACTGAGGCTTAGAGAGATTAAATAACTTGCTCAGGTTCCAGCTAGAAAGTATCAGCAAGCTGCAACTGGATCCCATGTCTGTGTGATTTGAAAGCTCACCTGTCTGACATGGCTTTTACATTGCCTTTTCTAAAAAAAAAAATTTGATCATGAAGAGAAGAAAAAATTCTTACATGACATATGCAATATTCAAATTGGATGATTAGGAGCACTTTGAAATCAATTTTAAAGTCTGAGGTTTGTTGCACTATAGGTTTTTATGAACTGCAGTTTTCCTTTTGTGTTTTAACCTGGTTAGAAATACCTGGATGAGGGTTGAGGTTTGAGAAATCTTCGAAGGAACAGCACAGATTTTGATGGGAATGCCCTGTGTGGGTGATCCATGAGCCCTTCTCTGTGCTTTAGGGACATTTTAGCAACCTGAGTAATTGCCTTTGATGGGCAGCCTTTGTTTTCTGTTCATTAATGACCCCCTAGGCTAGATTTTATTCCTCTTGACACTCATTCAAATACAGAGATACTTAAAATGGATGCTACCAACTGATTGGCACATCACTGTCTGCCTATCAGTGCTCTCCTGCCTGCTTGGGTACACAGGGAAGGAGAGAAGAAGGGAAAGGATATGACAGGGAACCTGTGAGAACTGAATTTGTTTTAAAAGCCAAAGTCTGTTACAGAAATCAGAGTTTTGACGTATACAAATTGTTGGTATTTGTGCATGGTTAGCATTTTGGGACTGCCCTACTTAGCAGATACATGTCCTCTTTTTTTCCTTCTCGTGATACAGGCTGCCTGGGCACACAGGTACATATTTAATACATTGAGTCCTTTTGCTCCCGTGGCTTGCTTTGGGTCCTCAGGGTCTTTATGTTTGCATCTGTGTAGTGTTTATAGCTTTGGAATAACATCACATCCCTAAATGAAATTTGGATTATTTACATCCAAATCTGTCTCCCCAACAATCCAATGACTGTGGGCGCAATATTGCGGAACGGCACACGATCTAATTTGAATAGAAATATATATGCGTATGGTTTTAGAGCTTTCTGTTTATTAAAACAAAATCTTTCTTTGTCCTTGGGGTTTGTTATCCCTCTTTTACTGCTGTGTGATACACAAGAAAGAAGCATTATACAGGTTGAAATAATTGAAAATGCCTACATCCAATTCAACTTTATTTTATTTGAATTTATCTAGTTATATGGACTTGCTTGACATATAGGTGCTTACAAAAAACTGGACAGGAGCTCTGGATTGAATTTTTTTTTTGGAAATGTAGAACTAGTTTAGAATTAGATTCAACTTCAGGGAATGTGTAAATATTTATTAATTTGATTAGCACTGTACATCGTGTCTTGAAGCTATTCAGGATACTTTAGGAGCATCTGTTGTACCATCATTTGGAGACCGCTAGGTTGTTACAGAAATACCCGCAAATGTGTGGACAATGGCAGTTTCACATAGCTCAGCGTAGGCATCGCCACAGTGCTGCATAGGGATTCTTCGTCTTGGCTTCATGTGGGTAAATTGATGCTCTCAAGTGCATCCAAGGTGGTCTTTCTTAGGGAGGGTGGTTTTTATTGAACTTTGGCTTTCCTCTTTCCTTATTTAACAAAATAGTGGCAACTGTCATTTTCAACCTTTAAACGGTAGCATCACTGATTTTATAAATAGAAAATCATTTTCTAGGTGGGCTTATGTCTATGCTGGCAACCATTTTATACACATGGCCTCATTTAAATGGCCTGGACTTCGAATGTGGAAATGGGCAACTTTTCAGTCTATTTCGGTAGGCTTTCCAATCTCGCCTCTCCATTTCCTGTCTAAACAACTTCTTCTATGTCCACAGCATGTTTATACAACATTGAATAAAACTTCTAGTGGGAAATTTCTTCCAGGTGACCTCCCTGAGAGGCTGGGCTGTGAAGAAATCTTAAGAAATCCAACCCTGATGAAATTGCTTCCACTGAGAATATTACTCGGCACAGAAACAAGGAACAGAATTCAGTTATTTTTGGTTTTTGAATAAATGAATTCTGTTTCTTTGTGTGTAGGTGGCAGAAAACATTAACCCCTGCAGAAGGTCCAGTCTCAGTTGAAAATTGAACTTTTGGTTTCTTTGAGTTAGGACAACTGTGGAGAAAAGAATGTTAAATTGTTTGTATTTGAACTGCAAGCAACTTGGAGCCTGTTCTGCTATTTGCATATCTTTTATAGATGTGTCTTTTCCAGGTTGTCTGTTTTTACATTTAATTTTCTGGAGGCTGGGACTGTGATTATCAAATGACCTCCAACTCTGTACCACATGTGGGTGGGTACTAATGAATTCTTTCTTCACCTTCCTAGCACTTTTGGAGAAATCAATCAGTAGAAGGCGGGACACTGAAGCCATACAGAAAGCCAAAATCCTTTATTCATCTTGCATGAACGAGAGTAAGTAATAAAGAAAATAAATAAAGTATTCACCACCCTTATTCTTTGGGGTTCTTTTAATGTTTAAATATATTGTTTAAGGAAAAATAAAACTACTAATAATTCTTTCACTGTTTAAATGTGTTGTTTAAGGAAAGGAGCAACTCTTATTTAAAGACTGGATTTTGACTAGCTCTGTCTTAATGTTCCCTTGCTGCCTTGATGGAGAAAATAATTTTATTTCTATGGCTTGGATCCTCTGGGTATCAATTACTCCATGAGAAACTTGGGCAGGGTCAGAACGGCAAACCCCACTATGTGTGGTTCAGAAACCAGAATCCAGAGGCCAGGTCTGGTCTGAGAAGGGGCATGGGATGCTGCTTGGGAGTGTTGCTATGTCCCCTAAGGACCTCCTGGGGCCTAGAGAAATCCAGATTCCCAGGCAGGCCAGGCCACTGCTTTTCTGTCAGCCTAACAGTCATCTTTGTTGGGTGTCGTAGGCCTGTCTCAGCATCTTGGGTCTGATTGGCATTAAAGGAGACACTTGTCATTTTACCTGGTCTGCTTTCTCAAGGCCGTTATAGGAAGAAGCTAGTGCCTCTGGGAAGTGTGTTAACTCATTTAGGATTTGGAGTATTATTTGGTGAGCTAGAAGAGGGCAGTAAAAGATGATGAAATAGTCTGAAGCATTAATTCACTTTTATTGGGGAGTGAATGGTTTTACTGAGCAGTTTCCTGTGTTGTATAGGGTTGTTTCTTAGTCTCGCAGAGTATTATCAGCCTAACGTTGCTCTTCAGCTGGGGTTGATGTAATGAGCCCATCTTTTTTGTAGAGAATATCCAGCAGGTTCCCTAGTCAGCTCTCCTGACAAGAGCACCAGGTTTAGACAGTCACATTGCTGTGTGAACCATAGGTAGCTCCATCCCTGGTTATGCTTAGTTTGCTACACCTCTCCCCAACAGCTGAAATGTTAGGTTGGGGCCTTATGGGAATTTTCTCTTGAGAAGATATACTCGAATTCTAGTTTGGTGATCTAGTTTGCAATTCTAATTCTCCCTTCATATTTGTTCTCTTTCAGAAGCGATAGAAAAAGCAGATGCCAAGCCCTTGCTACACATTCTGCGGCATTCACCTTTCCGCTGGCCTGTGCTCGAATCTAATATTGGTCCTGAAGGGGTTTGGTCAGAGAGAAAGTTCAGCCTTCTGCAGACACTTGCAACATTTCGTGGTCAATACAGCAATTCTGTGTTCATCCGTTTGTATGTGTCCCCTGATGACAAGGCATCCAGCGAACACATCTTAAAGGTATATAGTGGGGACTCATTCATCATGTTTCCATCCAAGGTTTGGGGTGCCTTTCCAGGGAAAGAGACTCATACCACCTTAGTGAAATGATAAGGTAAAAATTCTGTTAAACATTAGGATCTAGAATATTACACCCCTCCCAGATTTGCAGAATGTAAATCATGAACAAACCAGCTTTGTCAGCCTTTTGGGAAGCTAGTTTCAAGTGATCTGGCCCTCAAATATTTACTCCGAGCATGTGTGGGGCCCTTAAATTCCAGTGGGGAGAGAGCTGCAAAGACTTTCTGAACTCTGCTCTTCCCATCACCTCTTTATTCCCCCCACAAAGGAGAGAACGCATGCCATGATTCCTGGCTCCCCCTTCACTAACATCTCCGCATGCAGACCTAAAATTTCATTGTGCAGTTCAGTCTGAATCTCCCCTCCTTCTTTACAAAAGATAAAGTGAAACTTGTTCTGAGTGCTTGGTTGCATTTTCTGTTGGAAGAGTAAGCATCCCTTCTACAAAGGAATGGGCCATGTAGACATACCTTGACATAGATAATTACATTGGTAAAATCAGGAGACTCTCAGAAAATTACCAAAAACGACAGATTCACCAATGCAAGCTTGGCAAGAATTCAATTGGCATTTCTCAAATTGTTTTGTGTTTCGATCCTACTATTTTTTTTGCTTTTGCAATAACTGACTAATAATGAAAACTTTATTGAAGCACTGATTCCCCCCTCTCAATTCTATCCTTTTGAATCAGAAAATATTAATGATATATCGATATTCAAATCATAGACATGTAAAACTTTTAGAGTGTGTTACCCTTTCCTAAAATAAGTCATCTTTTTAAAATCTACAGCTTTTTTATTTATACCAAGGGGTTGGCAAATTTTTTCTGTAAAGAACCAGACAGTAATTATTTTAGGCTGTGTGAGCCATATAGTCTCTGTCTCAACTGCTTAACTCTGCCGTTGGACCTGTGAAAGCAGTTGTAGACAGTATGTAAATGAGTAGGTGTGGCTGCTTGGCGGGCTGGTCTGCAGGCTGTAGTTTGCCCACCTCTAGATTACACAATAAAAGTCTCAATAAAAACTCTTCAGTCACTGAAAGAAAGCCCATCTACTCAAGAGGAAATTCTTAGTTCCAGAGACAGCTGTATTTCTGAGTTGGGTGATAGAACAACGTGGCACTGAGACATATTCAGGATAAGACATGCTATGCAAGACACAACGATGGTAATGGTCCAATTGACATCTGTCTTATGTTACTGCATTACTCTCTTTAAAAAACAAACCAATCAGGTTTTAAGACTATCATTCTTTTTCTTTTGTGTGACATAGCTTGAAAACCATGGGTGTAATGGAAGAAAGAGCAGGTTTTGGTGTTAAAGAGATTGAGGTTCATGGTTTGACTCTGTGATTTGCTCACTGAATATCCTTGTGCAAATTGCCTCAGCTCTATGAGTCTCACTTCCCCCATGTGTAATAAAGGGCGAATTAGAATATACTTTTTACTGTCACTGTGAGGTTTAAATGAGATGAATTTCATGACAGTTTACAGGATACATACTAGTACATAGTAGCACCTCACATAGGTGCCCTTTTCTAAAAGCATGACCAGGAAACTGGTCAGAACCGTATGGAAAAGATTTCTCTTCAGCTTTTGTGCCCAAAATACCTCTCAGATCTCAAATTCGGATGTGTGAGAAATCGGCATTTTCTTGAGTCAGTGTCATCTCTGACTCTGACCTCCCAGCCCACCTCTTAGTGGGAAATGGAACCAGTCTAGGCACTTCCCTACCTCATGGTTGCACCATTTCTCAGCCTTCTCCCAGGGTACTGGGACACCCTCCAATCTTCAGTTATCTGTTTCTAAAAAGAAATCCGCTGCCCCAGCCCATGTGGCCCCTTTGAGTGTGCTTCTCTGCTGCTGGGGCCTGGGCCGCTCACTTCCTCTCCCATTATGCCGTTTTCTAGGGCCATTGACTGGTAACTGCTCAGGAGAAACTGTAACTTCTTTGGCTGCCCAGAAGATCTTCTTTTTGCTCTGGGAGCAGCCTCTCTTACTCCAAACTCTCCTCCGTTAATGTACTGAGGCTTCCTTTCCTCCTGTGGTAAGAGGGCACAGGATTTGCCTCCGGCTTCAGTGAGAGGAAGGAAATACAATACAGGAAACAACAGGAGTCCATGCCCCCAAGCATATCTTATTACATGTGTTTGGGTTTATTTTATGTAAGGAGATAATGAGAATGGGGGTTTAAGGGACAGTAAAAGACTTGAATATATGTGGTCCTGGAAGAGTGTTTGAAAGGCCAGGGTTGTCTTGGTATGTGTTACTGAAACAGTGACTTAAAGTCACCCTCCCTCAGTGGCCTGCATCTGTGTGACTCTTAGCAAAATCCATAATGATGACAAGGAGAAACGCTCCTGGAAATGAAGTTTTTCTGATTTATTTGTCTTTCCATTTCCTACATCATAATTTGTCAGATGTTATTTTTTGTATTACTACTTTGTTTCCTAACCGGAGATTTATTGCAGTTGGAGGAAAAAAAAATCTTCTTTCAGTTTAATGTATTGGATTTCCTAAACACTTATTTTCTACTTGGAATATTCAGATGCAAGGATTAAAAAATCTCAAATAACACAGTGTCCTAATGTTGGCCTCTTGAGAAAGTCTTTTGCCTTAAGAGTTTGTATGTTTCTAATGAAGTTGAGTTGACCTTACTCAATCTGTTTGGTGTATTTAAAATGTTCCCTAGAAACCATAACAATCTGAAGATTTAAAAAAGGTCCAGTAACTTCACTTCAATCATCGAAACTTTTATAACAAGTGGATTTAACTTCATCTCATCAGAGAGAAGCTTTGGCTTTCTTAATATTGTCTACACAGTTTCCTTTCCTATGAGACTGAAGATCAAAAGATTCTCTAAGTCGTCCAAATCTAATTGAAAGCCAAAGCATTTTAATCATAGTATTGTGGTGTTTTGTGATCCTGGCTTACTTAATTTTTGGAAGAAACGGTGGTAGATTGGGAATTGCAGTAAGATGAAGCCAGGCTGGCTTGTGAGTTGGTTGTTTTGGGCCAATTAAAGAAGAAAATTGAACACAATAATTTGAAAGTATTAGTAATACACACAGACAAAATGGATGTTATGAAAACATCTTTTTGTTTTACCCTTGAAACAAGCAATATTTTTCCTTGAAATATTTCATAACATCACTAACTCTTAACTAGGCCTTTGTAGAATTTGTTGTGTATGAAGGGGATTTTCATAGAAAACAATGATCCTATACAGATTTTATATAGTAAAAAAGAAAATATTTGAGATTATAGTAAAATGAAGAAGAAACTAGAGGAGATGGATCAAAACAATCTAACATTGTATGGATAAAGATATGGGAATGTAGGATCCAGTTTTTATTCAAATGCTACTAAGTTTTGATTTGTTATTTAGATTTTGTATCCCGCTCATTTGATTTAACTTTTTTTATATGTGAATCACATTTATTAGAAAATCTACTATTGGGATCCATTTTTTTCAGTCTTTAGGCAGTTTTTTGATACTCAAGAAAGAACGACCATAGACTTAGAGGAAGTTCTGGAACTTTAAAAAAATTTATTTTTAAATTTACATGCAGTTAAATTCAGTTTTGTGATGCATGTGTCTGTAAGTTTTGACAAGTACAGACAGTCATGTATCACCACCATAATCCAGAAACAGAATAGTTCCATCACCCCCCAGAATTACCTCATGTTGCCCTTTTGTAGCCAGTCACTTTCCTCATCCCTAAACCCTGTTTTCTGTCCCTGTAGTTTTCTCTTTTCCTGAATGTGATTAAAATTTGCCCGTGTTGCTGTATGTATCAGTAGTTCATTCCTGATGGCTGAGTGGTATTTCATTGTGTATCACAGTTTGTTTATCCATTTACCACTTGAAGACATTTGGGTTGTGTCCAGTTTTTGGTGATTATGAATAAAGTTTCATGCAGGTTTTCGTGTGGCAATAAATTTTCATTTCTCTTGGGTAAATACCTAGGCATGGGATTGCTGGGTCATATGGAAGTGTATGTTTAACTGTATAAGAAACTGTCAAACTGGTTTCCAAGGTGGCTCTGCCATTTTGCCTTTCTACCAGCAATATATGAGTGATCCAGTGTTTTCAAATCCTGACCAGCATTTGGTGTTACTGGGTTTTTGCTGTTGTTGTTGTTATTCTAATAGATGTGTAGTTGTGTTTTATTGTGAATTTAATTTATATTTAATGACCAGTGCTGTTGAGCGTCTTTTCATGTGCTTATTTTCTGTCTGTATCTCTTCTTTGGTGAAGTGTCTGTTCAGATCTTTTACCACTTTTATTTTATTTTATTTTTAAAAGATTTTTTTTGGGGAATTGGGAGATGGGAACAGTGCTGGGGAATTGGGGGAGGGGGAACAGACAAGTTGCTGTCGTTTTGTTCTTCAGTCTAGTTATGGAGGACGTTG